ACACACACACACACACACACACACACACACACACACAAACAACAGAGACAAATAAACACCCGGATTATTGTTTGAAACAATCTGTGAATCAGCTGCAGTGTGTAATTAATTTGCCTATAGCACGTGTTGGAAGGACTTAAGCTGGCCATTGTCAATCAAGAACACGTACTGGGATCAAACTGCTGCAATGAGAATAGAAAACAACATCATTGAATACATACAAATTAAAAGAGGGATAAGACAGGGATGTGTACTTTCTCCAGACTTGTTCTCCCCGTATAGTGAAAATACCACGAGACACATAGAAGAAATGGCAGGTATCTCGATAAGGGGACATAATATAAACAATCTAAGATATGCAGACGACACAGTCCTAATAGCAGAAGATGGAGAACACCTACAGAATCTATTAAATGCCACCGTACAAGAGAGTGACAACTTGGGCTTAAGCCTAAACATCAAAGAAAATCGAAACAATTGTGATAAACAGAAAAACTCCAACCCCAACATGCAATATCAAAATCAATGATACCACCCTCAAGCAAGTACATGTACAACATTTTAAATATTTGGGGACCATTATATCATCAGGTGGGAGATGTCACACCGAAATTAAGAGCCGCATTTGCCAAGCAAAAGCAACCTTCCACAAAAAGAAACAGATGATAGTCACAAACATAAATCTGTCACTGGAAACGAGGAAAAGAGTACTGAGAAGTTACATCAAGCCAATCCTATTATACGGGTGCGAAGCATGGACAATCAATAAACAGCTGGAAAGAACAATTGTGGCGACAGAGTTGGGGTTCATAAGACGCATGCTGCGTGTCCCATGGACAGCTAGAAAAACAAATGAAGAATTCTTGGTTGAAGCAAATTGCACTAATTGCAGAAGACAGCTTATGACAGATATAAAAAAGCGACAGGCAAAATTTTTCGGACACACAGTGTGGAATTAAGGAGCATTGGAGAATATTGTGACAACAGGCAAGTTTGATGGAAAGAGAGGCAGAGGCAGACAGAGGGAAAAGATACGACAATATGACAACATGGCTAGGAGCAGCAAGGACAATTAAGAGACACTACCATTGCTGCAACGCAAGACTGAGTGGATTTAAGTGGAGGTCCACGATCGCCCACGCCAGTCGGCAAGGCACTGGATGACGATAATAGCACGTGTTAACGCTCCAAAGCGTGCTCTACTCTAAGTAAGGTATCGATCAATAGAC